AAAACCAAAACAAAAGAGACGCCCGGGATTCTTTAAAAGCACTTAAAAAATCAGACACAAAAGGTCCCCTTAATTTTTCAAACTACTTCAAAAACCAGACACAAGAGGTCCCCAACATTCTTTCAGATTACTTGAAAAACCAGGCACAAAAAGTTTCCGAAATTATTTAAAGCTACTTCAAAAACAAAAAGAGTTCCCGAGATTCTTTAAAACTACTTCAAAAACAAAACAAAAAGAGGTCCCCGAGATTCTTTAAAACTATGTACTTCAAAACCAAAACAAAAAGGATGCCCGGGATTCTTTAAAAGTACTTCAAAAACCAGACATAAGAAGTCCCCGAAATTGTTTCAAACTACTTCAAAAACCAGGCACAAGAGGTCACCGAGATTCCTTCTAACTACATCAAAAACCAGACACAAGAAGTCCCCGATATTCTTTCAGATTACTTCAAAAACCAGGCACAAAAGGTCCCTGAGATTCTTTAAAACTACTTCAAAAACAAAACAAAAAGAGGTCCCCAAGATTCTTTAAAACTACTTCAAAAAAAAACAAAAAGGGGTCCCCGATATTCTTTAAAACTTCTTCAAAACCAAAACAAAAAGACTCCCCGAGATTCTTTCAAACTACTTCAAAAACAATACACGTGAGTTCCCTAAAATTTTATCAAATTACTTCAAAAACAAAACAAAAGAGATTCTTTTAAAGTACTTCAAGACCAAAACAAAAGCGATACCCGAGATTCTTTCAAAATACTTCATAAACCAGATCCAAGAAATTCCCGAAATTCTTTCAAACTACTTTAAAAACCAGGCAAACTTCAAACACAACACAAAAGGAGCCCCCGAGATTCCTTCAAAGTACTTCAAAAACTAGGCACGAAAGTGGTCCCGGAGATTCTTTCAAACTACTTCTAAAACCAGACACAAAAGTGGTCGTCGAGATTCTTTTAAACTACTTCAAAAAATAAAAACAAGAGGTCCCCGAAATTCTTTCAAACTACTTCAAAAACCAGGGACAAGGGGTCACCGAGATTCTTTGCAACTACTTCAAAAACCAGACACAAGAAGTCCCCGATATTCTTGCAGATTACTTCAAAAATCAGGCACATAAGGTCACCGAGATTCTTTAAAACTACTTCAAAAACAAAACAAAAAGGGGTTCCCGAGATTCTTTAAAACTACTTCAAAACCAAAACAAAAGAGATGCCCGGGATTCTTTAAAAGTACTTAAAAAACCAGACACAAGAACTCCCCGAAATTCTTTCAAACTACTTCAAAAACCAGCCACAAGGTGTCCCCGAGATTATTTCAAACTACTTCAAAAACAAAATACATCAGTTCCCTAAAATTCTTTCAAATTTCAAAACAAAAGAGATTCTTTTAACGTACTTCAAAACCGAAACAAAAGCGATACCCGAAATTCTTTCAAAGTACTTCATAAACCAGACCCAAGATTTTCCCGAAATTTCAAACTACTTTAAAACCAGGCAAACTTCAAACACAAAACAAAAGGCACCCCCTAGATTCTTTCAAAATACTTCAAAAACTAGGCACGAAAGTGATTCCGGAGATTTTTCAAACTACTCACTTCTAAAACTAGACACAAAAGTGGCCGTCATGATTCTTTTAAACTACTTCAAGATCAAAACAAAAGGGATCCCCGAGATTATTTCAAAGTACTTCAAAAACTAGGCACGAAAGTGATCCCAGAGGTTCTTTCAAACTACTTCTAAAACCAGATACAAGAGATCCCCGACATTTTTCAGATTACTCCAAAAACCAGGCACAAAAGGTGTTCAAAATTCTTTAGAACTACTTCAAAATCAAAACAAAAGGGATCCACGAGATTCTTTCAAACTACTTCAAAAACAAAAGGAGTGCTCGAAATTCTTTCAAACTATGTACTTCAAAAACCGAAAACAAAAAGGAGCCCCGAGATTCTTTCAAACCACTTTAAAACCAAAACACAATAGGTTCATAAAATTCTTTCAAAACACTTCATAGACAGTGCAAAACTGGTTCCCGAAATTCTTTCCAACTACTTCAAAAACCAGGCACAAAAAGTCCCCGTGATTCTTTCATAACTATGTACTTCAAAAACATAACAAAAGAGGTCCCCGAATTCTTTCAGATTACTTCAAAAACAAGATACAACTGAAGAGATTTATCTAAAGCTAACTAAGTCCAAAATATCTATACGGAGATAATTTACTTTTCCGAAAGTTATCTCATCCGTAAAAAAAATACTTAGGTATATCACAATAAATGACAGTTTACATCAAATGATTTTATTGGGTTTGCTATAATTAAAAAAATTTAACATTCACGTTTTTATATACAGGGTGTTTCTTTTATTTGATACAACCCCTGCAACTTTTTTATTCTGAAAGATAAACATATAGTTATTTGAGCAAATTTGTATCATTTTACAAGATTTATGTGGTGGCAACCTCACATTTTTATTATCACTTCCGGTAGAACCGGAAATGACGTCAACTTTATATATTTTTTATGGAACACTAGGTATATTTTTTCATAAATGGAAAGATTGATTTTTCTGAAAAATCAAAAGCAACCAATATTCTAAAATCAATACTTAAAAAGTCATTCAATAAAATAGACGAAAAATTCATATTTATTGATGACAATCTAGTAAAAATATGTTTATCTTTAAAAATAAAAAAGTTACAGGGGTTGTATCAAATAAAAGAAACACGTGGTGTAATAATTACATTCCAAAAATAACAAAGTCTATGGATTTAACACAGATTTAAAAAAAAAAACAGAACAGATATAAATAACCTTTTTTTCAGACAAAAATAGAATTTTATTTATTAATAATTTTCGGTAATTCCTTCATCTGGGGTATTAAGACCTGGGCTATTCCAAAAAATTTCTTGTATCCTGTGTTAAACTTAGATATTTTATGAGATGCGAAAGATTTGATTTTTGAAACGCTAATATTGTTAACAAAAATCTTGGACTTAATACATGATTGGAATAAAACTTAATACAGTTTTGTGTTTATTTTTCATGCCCTATATTATGCCCATGACCACATCTCAAAATTATGAACCACCCGGTATACGCTCCTGCTGCAGCACGCCAGCTGCCTGACCAAACCACCGTTGCGGCGCAATTATGAAATTTCTTGTGCTTGAGTGATTTGCCGTCGACATTCTCATTTATTGGCCAAGTTTCGCGTAACGGGGGTCTAAATAAATAAAATTTCGGCCCGAACTTGTACGTTCCGCCACCTGTAGCGCTGTCAGCGCCATCTCTGGGCCCTTCTGACCCCACATAATTTAGCAACAATTTGCTAAGACTCGACATGCACAAGAATGCCCGTGGGCTCCCCATTAACATTTACATACCTACTACAATATTTGTGTATATAGCATGAGGTGGACATTAATATAAGGATCAGGAGCATAAAAAATAAGGCCACGCTTTAAATTATACCGAGTTGTATGTCATGCGCTTTCCTGTTCTCCTTTTATTGCATTCATTACAATTGCATAGCTCACAAAAATTTTCAACTCGTTTTATGTTATCGTTTTTTAAATATTTTTCCACGGCGTCGCCCCACGAAATCACGGACTCCGTGTATCTACAAAACTGTAACATAAAAAAAGTAATTGACATGTTTACCTTCCCACGGCGCGATCCCACGCACCTTAAGCATTTTTATCAAAATACATATTATCATCAATAACTTATTTACATTTTAATATGTTGAGACGCCCTCGCTCCGGCTACCGCTGCTTTCAAACGAATCTGTTTACTTAAAGATTTCTATTGATTCGGAGCAGAGCACGAAAAGCCCCACGAAATCGCTGATTAAATCTCAATTACTGGCCTCTAGTCGTTTTGTTTTTGTTTAGATTCAATTGCAGAATTTACACTGGCGTAATTAAAATTTACCATGTAAAATTACTTGCTTAATTGATTTCGCCATGTTGTTTTGAAGCAGTAATTTCGAGTTTGCATAGTTGGTTTAGACTCAGTAAATCTAGTTCCCACCACATATCATTAACAGAACTAAATTACTTAGGAAATGGTCTGTTTGGCTCGCACAAATACCATCAGATCCATTACAGCTGGAATTAAATAAGTTCGTGTGGGTCGACCCGTCCACGGGGTGGAAAATAAAACACGCGTTTTTGTGTGGTGTGAACGGGGTTGTCAAGCGTTTCCTCTAACCTCACTTTTTCCATCAGTTTTGTTTCAAAAATTGCCGCTTACCTCCCACAGATGTATATAAATGTATTTAATGCAACAAGTGTCTCATAAATTCTTAAATGACAGGAAAGTAACATATATGGACATTCATACAACATTTATGCGGTCATTAAAAATCTTCTATTGAACTTATTCATGGAGGTCTTTGTATGAGAGAGGCAGATAAAAAGATTAAAAATGATTAACGTTCACACATATATAAAATGTGGCCTTTTGAAACACGACGAGTATTTCCAACTCATGAGGAAAAGGCACTTTGCTTTAACGAATTGTATGTCCTACTTTAAAAATTGATTGTGATTTTTTTTTTGTACCGCTACCAATATACTACAGAGTTTATAAATTATTCATACATCCAAGTGGGTACTGATTTGTTCCGCTTCTTTCAAATTGTGTATCTATTATTTGCTTTGTTGTCGCTATGTGTTTAATTGGGTGCGTGGTTTCAAACACCTAATTATCTCTAGTTAATATAAAGTCGCGAGTTTTATTTAAATTCAAAAATATAAAAATAGTTATTTTTGGATATGGAACAAACAGTTGGCAAGACTGACGACGTCAACATGTGACATTCAGGGTCCTAAATTTATTTAATTATATTTTTCCCAAAAATATTGGGACCCATTTGTTCCCATTTTTGTACTTGGTGCGCCGCTGACTTTCCCTCATGACATATTGCCCCATCTGTTCATCACTAGCGCCGATAATAGCAGCTCTCTGCTTTACCGACTTACTATGTCAACTGTCATTACCATTGTCGTTTTTTATTCATTCGAAGAATATCTGTCAAAATTCTCCGTTGTGTTGTGATTTCATTGTTTACAAACATTCGTGCGTACGGTGATTAACAATTAATTAATTCGTTAATTGTTATTAATGATCCATGAAGAGATTAACTGTTGACGCGTAATTCATATCCGATTAAAATGTCGATCGTTAACACTAACATAACCAAGCAACCTTTGAAAGTGATTGAAGTGCCTTTGAGTAAATTTAGCGAAGAAGTGATTCCTCACCATCAGAATGTCTACGAGCAGCATAGGACCCTTATTTTAAAGGTACATTCGTTGTAGGTGAAAATAGGGGACTTACATTGCTGATAAGCGACCTAATTTATTTATAAATACTATCGAAAATGAGTAATAACAATTCGTAGATAACAAATATCTGACATATTGAAAACTGTTGTCAAAAAATCGACACAGATGGCGCCACTAATCCCCATAAAAACTGTGTTATAGTTGATATCTCAAAACAACACCACCCTTCTGCGCCAAGAAATCAAAAACAAAAAACGCATGCCCAAGCAACTCAAGGACCTCATGTACGAACTGGACACCCTCAGAGCACAAGTCGAAGACGCCGACTTGGATAAATTCGACACAAAAACTTTATCATTTAGAAAAACCATAATTAACTTAATTTCGGGTTACACAGGTAAATTAAAACTACCACCACCACAAAAAAAAATAAAATTGTGTCGCAGACTTGGAAAAGCGCAGTGCAGCCTTAGACGCCGCCCGAAACGAAGACGAAGAGCGCCTCCTCCAGAAAACCCACCCCTTTGAAGGCGCCTCCCAGATCCAAATCCACGACGACTTGGACGAAATCAAGCTAAAACAACGACAAGAACTCCTAGAGGACGTCGAAAACGTCCAACGAGACGCCCAAGATCTGAACGAAATTTTCACCCAGTTGAACCAGATGGTGGAGAGTCAGCGGGAAAACGTCGATAAAGTGGAGGAGAGTGTTGAGAGCACGCAGGAAAATGTGCAGTCGGGGCTGAGACAACTGGTGAAAGCGCACAAGTATTTTTCAATTTAACTATTAATTTTCTTATGTAATGATGACACGTTGTTTCAGGTTGAAAACGGCCGCCTATCCGGTGACGGGGGCCTTCATAGGGACGATGATCGGGGGGCCCGTGGGCTTAGTAGCGGGGTTGAAAATCGGGGGGTTGACGGCGTTGGGGTGCGCACTCGCCGGATACACCGGGGGGAGGTTTTTTAAGAAGAATTATGAAGTGGAGGCGGAAGTGATTGAAGAAAGTAAGGAGAATGCGGAGCCCGTGGTTGACGACAATGAGGAGAAAAAGGACATTTGACAGTGCGTTTTCTGTTAATTTATTTTATTTGGATGAGATGTACATATTTAATTGGTTTAGTTAAAATGGTAACTAATGATGTGTGTTCCTATGGATTGTTAGGTTAGGATGCTTGCTTATCAAGTTCTAAATTATTGAAAGACTGTTAATTATGGGATTTTTATGTTTTTCTTTTTGTTGTGAAATTTTGAATTAGATTTTTTTTTATTGTGATTTTACAACAAATAATGTAGTTTTACGTTTTAGGCACGTTTTAGGGTCACTAGGTGTAGGTGCTACACAAACTTTGGATTCTTCAGCCTGTGATTTTTAATATATTAGTACGGTTTTTGTCGCTACCGAACTTATACTTTCACAAACTCTGCTTTCACTTTGTTTCGCCAAAAAATATAAATGAAGTTTTATCAATAAAATTTTAATTTCGTTTGCCCCTTCGGAAAAAATACTCTTTCTACGCCACTGGTACAGTTGCGACAGTGCCGATTTGCCTAGAATGTTTTGTGGTTTGGCTCGAAACCATAATTTTAAACCTGTATAAGCTGCTTACTTGTTTGTTCTACAGACCAGAGCGCAATCAGGCCAATGTCGACTCTAAGCGTTCGGAAACGATTTGATTTATAAGCCATGATCCGTGATCTGATACACATCCTAAGCGGGTTCGACCATAATTTCTGTTGTTTCAACTTTCGAATTCTCAGTTTTTCGAAATTTTAGGTTGGAGACTTTTCAGTTTACTTATTTTTCAATTTTTGGATTTTACAATTTTTCAAATTCTCGGTTTTCAGTTTTTCTCTTCAATTTTACGATTTTTTAATTTTTGACTTTTATAAACTCTTTATTTGTCGATTTTTCAATTAATTGTTTTTTGAGGTTTTTTGATTTTTCGATTTTTCAGTTTTTCGATTCTTTAGATTCTCAGTTTTTGGATATTTCAGTTTTTCGACTTTTCCATTTTTGACTTCTGGATTTTTCGATGTGTCGACTTTTTACATTTTCAATTTTTAAATTTTAGATTTTTCGATTTCTCGATTTTTCGACTTCCTGGTTTTAGATTTTATGTTTTTCAATTGTGGTTTTTCCAATTTTTCGATTTTTAACTTTTAGATTTTTCAGTTTTTTGATATTTTAATTTTTCAGTATTTAAAATTTTAGATTTTTCAGTATTTAAAATTTTAGATTTTTCAGTATTTAAAATTTTAGATTTTTCTCTCGATTTTTCATTTCAGTTCTTCGATATTTCAGTTTTTCAAGTTTTCGAATTTATCAAATGTTTTGGTTTCTTAATCCATCGATTTTGCGACTTCCCGGTTTTAGATTTTCTGTTTTTCAATTGTTTTTTCAAATTTGACAATTTTTCGATTTTTCAATTAATCGATGTTTTGATTTTCCCATTTCTTGACTTTCGAGGGTTTCGATATTACTGTTCTTCAATTCTTTAATTTTTCGATTTTTCAGGTTTTTGGTTTTTTATTTCTTAATTTTTTTAGGGTTTCGATTTTTCGACTTTTTAGGTTCTCAGTTTTTGGATGTTTCAGTTTTCGGATTTTTCAGGTTTTCCGTTTTTCAGTTTTTCTTTCATGTTTCAGTTTTTCGATATTTCAGTTTTGGGATTTTTCAATATTTTGATTCTTCGACTTATCGATTTTTGACTCCTGGATTTTTCGATGTGTCGATTTTTTTACTTTATCGATTTTTCGATTTTTAAATTTTAGATTTTTTATTTTTTAAAATTTTAGATTTTTCGATTTCTCGATTTTTCATTTCAGTTCTTCGATATTTGAATTTTTCAAGTTTTCGAATTTTTCAAATATTTCGATTTCTTAATCTTTTGATTTTTCGACTTCCCGGTTTTAGATTTTCTGTTTTTCAATTGTTGTTTTGTCAAATTTTCGATTTTTTAATTTTTCAAATGTGACTTTTATAAACTCTCAATTTTTCGATTTTTCAATTAATCGATGTTTTGATTTTCCCATTTCTTGACCTTCGAGTGTTTCGATTTTCCTGTTTTTCAATTCTTTAATTTTTTTATTTTTCAGGTTTTTGATTTTTCGATTTCACTTTTTTGATTTTTCGACTTCATCACTTTTCGATTTCTCGTTCTTTGGATCTTTCAATCTCTCAATTTTTCAAATTTTCGATTTTTTAATTTTTCAAATCTGACTTTTATAAACTCAATTTTTCGATTTTTCAATTAATCGATGTTTTATTTTCCGATTTCTTGACCTTCGAGTGTTTCGATTTTCCTGTTCTTCAATTCTTTAATTTTTTGATTTTTCGATTTTTCAGTTTTTAGATATTTCGGTTTTAGGATTTTTTTAATACTTCAATTCTTCGACTTTTCCATTTTTGACTTCTGGATTTTTCGATGTACCGACTTTTTAATTTTTAGATTTCTCAATTTTTTGGTATATTAATTTTTCAATATTTAAAATTTTAAATTTTTCGATTTTTCATTACAGTTCTTCAATATTTCAGTTTTTCAAGTTTTCGAATTTTTCAAATGTTTTGATTTCTTAATGAATCGATTTTTGACCTCGCGGTTTTAGATATTTTTCAAATTTGACAATTATAAACTGTCAATTTTTCGATTTTTCAATTAATCGATGTTTTTATTTTCCCATTTCTTGACCTTCGAGCGTTTCGATTTTCCTGTTCTTCAATTTTTTGATTTTTCAGGTTTTTGATTTTTCAATTTTTCGATTTTTTAAGGTTCCTATTTTTCGACTTCACTTTTTTTTATTTTTCTATAGCTCAATTTGTCGACTTTTTGGGTTCTCAGTTTTTGGATATTTCAGTTTTGGGATTTTTCAATGTTTCTGTTCTTCGACTTTTCCACTTTTGACTTCTGGATTTTTCGATGTGTTGATTATTTTACTTTTTCGATTTTTAAATTTTAGATTTCTCAATTTTTTTGTATTCTAATTTTTCAATATTTAAAATTTTAGATTTTTCAAATGTTTCGATTTCTTAATCAATCGATTTTTCGACTTCCCGGTTTTAGATTTTCTGTTTTTCAATTGTCGTTTTTTCAAATTTTCGATTTTTCAATTTTTCAAATTTGACATTTATAAACTGTCAATTTTTCAATTAATCGATGTTTTGATTTTCCCATTTCTTGACTTTCGAGTGTTTCGATATTCATGTTCTTCAATTGTTTAATTATTCGATTTTTCAGGTTTTTGGTTTTTTATTTTTTTAAGGTTTCGATTTTTCGACTTCACTTTTTGGATTTTTCGATTGCTCAATTTTTCCACTTTTTAGGTTCTCAGTTTTTGGATATTTCAGTTTTCGGATTTTTCAGGTTTTCCATTTTTCAGTTTTTCGATATTTCAGTTTTGGGATTTTTCAATATTTTGATTCTTCGATTTTTGGCTTCTGGAGTTTTCGGTGTGTGGATTTTTTTACTTTTTCGATTTTTCAATTTTTCGATTGCTTGAACTTTCGATTTTTCGACTTCCCGGTTTTAGATTTTCTCTGTTCAATTGTCGTTTGAAATTTTTCGATTTTTTAATGTTTGGTTTCCCGATTTAGTTTCCCATTTTTACTTTTTCTTTCATTTTTCAGTTTTGGGATTTTTCAATATTTCCATTCTTCGACTTTTCGATTTTTGACTCCTGGATTTTTCGATGTGGCGATTTTTTTACTTTTTCGATTTTTTAATTTTTAAAATTTTAGATTTTTCGAATTCTCGATTTTTCATTTCAGTTCTTCGATATTTGAATTTTTCAAATGTTTCGATTTCTTAACCTTTTGATTTTTCGGCTTCCCGGTTTTAGATTTTCTGTTTTTCAATTGTCATTTCGTCAAATTTTCGATTTTTTAATTTTTCAAATTTGATTTTTATAAACTCTCATTTTTCCGATTTTTTAATTGATCGATGTTTTGATTTTTCCATTTCTCAACCTTCGAGTGTTTCGATTTTCCTGTTCTTCAGTTCTTTAATTTTTTGATTTTTCAGTTTTGGGATTTTTCAATATTTCAATTCTTCGGCTTTTCTATTTTTGACTTCTGGGTTTTTCGATATGTCTACCTTTTAACTTTTTCGATTTTTCAATTTTTGGATTTTTGAATTTTAGATTTTTCAATCTTTTGATATTTTAATTTTTCAATATTTCTTAATCTTTCTATTTTTCGACTTCCTGGTTTTAGATGTTCAGTTTTTCAATTTTTCGATTTGTTAATTTTTTATTCTCGATTTATCGAGATTTGATTGTTCAGGTTTTCGATTTATCAGTTTTTCAATTTTTTATTTTGGCCTATTTCGATTTCCCAGTTTTTCCAGTTTTCCATTTTTTCGTTTTTTGATTTTTTCGCTTTACCAGTTTTTCAACTTTTAACTTTTTGTTTGTCGATTTCTCTATTTTTCGATTTTTCGACTTCATCACTTTTCGATTTCTCGTTCTTTGGATCTTTCAATCTCTCAATTTTTCAAATTTTCGATTTTTTAATTTTTCAAATCTGACTTATAAACTCAATTTTTCGATTTTTCAATTAATCGATGTTTTATTTTCCGATTTCTTGACCTTCGAGTGTTTCGATTTTCCTGTTCTTCAATTCTTTAATTTTTTGATTTTTCAGGTTTTTGATTTTTCAATTTTTCGACTTCACTTTTTTGATTTTTCGATTTTACAGTTTTTAGATATTTCAGTTTTAGGATTTTTTAATACTTCAATTCTTCGACTTTTCCATTTTTGACTTCTGGATTTTTCGATGTACCGACTTTTTACTTTTTAGATTTCTCAATTTTTTGGTATTTTAATTTTTCAATATTTAAAATTTTAAATTTTTCGATTTTTCATTTCAGTTCTTCAATATTTCAGTTTTTCAAGTTTTCGAATTTTTCAAATGTTTTGATTTCTTAATGAATCGATTTTTGACCTCGCGGTTTTAGATATTTTTCAAATTTGACAATTATAAACTGTCAATTTTTCGATTTTTCAATTAATCGATGTTTTGATTTTCCCATTTCTTGACCTTCGAGCGTTTCGATTTTCCTGTTCTTCAATTTTTTGATTTTTCAGGTTTTTGATTTTTCAATTTTTCGATTTTTTAAGGCTTCTATTTTTCGATTTCACTTTTTTGATTTTTAGATTTTTCAGTCTTTCGATATTTCAGTTTTCGGATTTTTCAATATTTCTGTTCTCCGACTTTTCCACTTTTGACTTCTGGATTTTTCGATGTGTTGATTATTTTACTTTTTCGATTTTTAAATTTTAGATTTCTCAATTTTTTTGTATTCTAATTTTTCAATATTTAAAATTTTAGATTTTTCAAATGTTTCGATTTCTTAATCAATCGATTTTTCGACTTCCCGGTTTTAGATTTTCTGTTTTTCTATTGTCGTTTTTTCAAATTTTCGATTTTTCAATTTTTCAAATTTGACATTTATAAACTGTCAATTTTTCAATTAATC